CCCCTCGTCCAGCAGCGCTAATAGGGGACGCCCCAGCCGGGGCCTCGGTCTTACTCAGCTGTCCCTCTGTCCTGTGGGCTTTTCCTGTCGTCAGCGTCTGCCTCCCCGGACCCCTGCCGGTTTGTTTTCTCTGGATTTCTTAGGGCCGAAGGATGGCCTGGGTTCCCCTGTGGTGGGAACTGTGGGTCTTCCCTTCGGAGCGTGGCCTGAGCCTGCGCGGGCAGGGGTCCTGTCTCTGTCTGCCCCCATCCCCTCCGCCGAGCAGCGCCTGGCATGCAGTAGGCGCTCAGTAAATACTTGTTGGAGGCACCAGCATGCCCGGCAGGGCCCGGAGCCAGTTGTCTACTGGCTCTGGCCTGCCTGGGCACGCTGTGGTGCGCTCAGCCGTGGCAAGACCTGTTCTTGGCAGGGGGGGACCGGTAACCCCAGCCCTCAGGCGCCTCCAGTTTGGGTTTTTTGCCTACCCAGCAACTTCTAATTTGGGTGCGCGGTTGGGAGAAGCTCTCAGTTGTCAGCCCTGCCTTTGGGGGCGGGCTCCCTGCTGCTTTCACACGGTCATTGCGTGCAGTCGGGGTGAGATGAGACCCCCGCCCACTCCCTGCATTGGGGGTGCTGCAGGTGAGCGGCTAGGCCACCATCCTGGCCGCCACCCCTGCTACTTGGATGTTGGCTACCGCTTGACGGGTCTGCCCTCCACACGGATCCACCAGCAGCTTCCCTGGGGCCCCGGTCCTGGCTGAATGTGGCCCTCTTTGACAGGTGGGGCAGGAGACCCTTGAGGAGCGATGACAGAATATAAGCTTGTGGTGGTGGGCGCTGGAGGCGTGGGGAAGAGCGCCCTGACCATCCAGCTGATCCAGAACCACTTTGTGGACGAGTACGACCCCACCATAGAGGTGAGCCCGGGTGACCTCTCCCAGGCCCCAGGCAGCCAGGCGTCCACCCAGCCGGGACTGGGCCGGCTCCAGTCCCTCGCCCTGCGTGGTCGAGATGGGCCTGCGTGCTGCTTGCTCCAGGCGCGGGAGCTGCTTCTCTCAGGACCCCGGGACTGGGAGCATGAGAGGTGCAGGGGAGGGGCTGGCGGTTGCAAGCTCTTCATCGGAAGAGGGGCGGGGGTCCCTGAGCCGTGTCCTCGCGCAGGACTCGTACCGGAAGCAGGTGGTCATCGATGGGGAGACCTGCCTGCTGGATATACTGGACACGGCAGGTCAGGAGGAGTACAGCGCCATGCGGGACCAGTACATGCGCACCGGGGAAGGCTTCCTCTGTGTGTTTGCCATCAACAACACCAAGTCCTTTGAGGACATCCATCAGTACAGGTGAGCCACCTGTGTGGCTGGACCAGGAGCCCAGGGTACAGGCTGGGCCCGGACAGGGGCCTCCTGTCCTCTGTGCATGTCCGGGATGCAGCTGTGCCTGCAGCCTGCCAACTGGCTCCCACCTTCTCCTTCTCAGGGAGCAGATCAAGCGGGTGAAGGACTCGGACGACGTGCCCATGGTGCTGGTGGGGAACAAATGTGACCTGGCCGCACGCACCGTGGAGTCTCGGCAGGCTCAAGACCTGTCCCGAAGCTACGGCATCCCCTACATCGAGACGTCGGCCAAGACCCGGCAGGTGAGCCTGCTCCCCGCCCCGCAGCAGGCCAGGGACCCGTCCCGCCCCGCCCCGCCAGGGGGCAACGCTCATCGCCCTCTCCCTCGACACAGGGCAGCCGCTCTGGCTCTGGCTCCAGCTCCGGGACCCTCTGGGACCCCCTGGGACCCATGTGACCCAGCGGCCCCTCGTGCTGTAAGTCTCCCCGGACGGCAGGGCAGTGAGGGAGGCGAGGGCCAGGGTGTGGGCTCATGCCCTGCAGTCCTGGGCTGACACAGCTCCAGGGGAGGTAGAGGTCCCTGGAGAGAGCTGCCTGAGCCAGGCCGGAGCGGTGACCCTCGGGCCCGGCCCCTCTTATCCCCAGAGTGTCCTGTGGTCATGGGTCAGGCCTGAGTCCTTAGTGGGGCTGCTGGCGACACCGGTTGTAGCTCAGACAAGAGCTGGGTGCAGAGTGGTCAAGCTTGAGCCAGACCTGGGGTCCAGGAGGTTCCTGGCCACTCTGACCTTTGGGGGGCTGATGAGGAGCTAGCTTACCTAGCAGGGGTGGCCCAGGGGGCTTGGAGATGAGCAGGGCTGGGCTTCCTGTTTGGGTGGACGTGGGGATATTGGGGAAAGGGCTGGTGGAGTCTGGGAGCCTTAGGCCAGGAACTGCTTGAGCCTCCAGCATGGAGCTCCTCACCGAGGCAGGGACCCCAGGTCTCCTTCCCTGCCAGGTCCCTAGGCCGGGTCCCACCTGACCCAGTCCCTCCTTCCCCAGGGTGTGGAGGATGCCTTCTACACGCTTGTGCGTGAGATACGGCAGCATAAGCTGCGGAAGCTGAACCCACCTGATGAGAGCGGCCCGGGCTGCCTGAGTTGCAAGTGTGTGCTCTCCTGACGGCAGGTGAGGCGCAGGCGGGTGGGCTCTCGAGGCAGCAGCCCCCAGTGGGCCACGTTAGCCCCCATGTCCCTCTGACATCCCCGGGCTCTCCCGATCCTGCTGGACCCTGCCTGCGGTCAGCGGCGTTGTTTGTGCCCCGCCCCAGCACAGGCTCTGGATGTGGAGATGCCGGATGCTGGGAGCAGGCGCAGACGGAAGGAAGGAGGGAAGGAAGGAAGGAAACGCCGCTGGAGCCCAGCCAGCCCAGGGACAGTGGACAGAGGTGACTGCAGACCCTCCCACGGACGCTTTGCACAGACTGTCATGAACTGTCCCAAATGCCATCGGCACCCTGGCCTTTTATGCCCCTCCCAGCCCTCTTCAGGCCCCTGCTGGGCGCAGGTTGAATCACAGTAAATTATTTGATGGTCTCGACCCTGGGGTCTGGCTGAGGGTGGGAGCTGCGGTGCCTGTGGCCTTGCAGGAGGTACACGGGAACCTTGGCTCTGTCTGGTCTTCAGCCCTGCTGTGGCCCATGCGTGGGTGGTGCTGGGAGAGGCCAGTTGGGCAACCTGGGCTCCACCACCCTCGTCCTGCGTGTCCCAGAGCGTCAGGTGCTTCCTGCAGAGAGCTCTGGCGCCGTGAGAACAGGCAGGCTGCGGTGACAGTTTATTGCTGTTCAGCCAGCAAGGAAGGGGCTGGAGGTCAAGGGGGTTCCCTTGTCCCGGGAGGGAGGCCTTCTCAGGCAATGCTCACATCAGACTGGGGACTCTGGTCACCACCTTGGAGCCTGCTTGCTCTGAGTGGGGTAGATGGGCTGAGTTGTTGGGACCTTGTGAAGCAGCTGCCCGCGCCAGCCCAGCTTCCTGCGTCTCTAGCACCTGAAGCAGCAGGTCTGGAATTGTGCAAGTCTGGCCTTGGCACTGTTGGCCTGGCCTCAGCCTCTGCCACATCAGTGCCCAGGTGGCCACTCACGGCCCTGGAGCCTGGCCATCCTGGCCTTCTCATGTGGTGGCGACTGGTGGCCAGAATGCCTCCTCCTGTTACCCCCTCACTGAGGTTGCTCTTAGAGCCACCTGTGATCATGTACTTGGCCTTGAGGGGCATGTGCAGGCCCCAGGTAGGAACACACTGTACCAGGAAGGTTTGCCCTGCCTTGGCCAGATTCCACAACTGGCCATAGCCACAGGTGCCCTCGGTCCCTGTCCTGGCTAATGGGGGCCCACAGCGCTCCTGGTTCTGCTCCCCTCCAAGAGCTTGGGTCAAGTCCTGACCAGGCCCTTCTGGATCTGGGCCTTGTGCCCTGTAAGGGGGCTCTGTCCCACAGGTAAACAGCCAGCATGAGGAACAGTTTCCCGTGGGCATTGATTTTAGATTGCTGAGGAGCCTCTGGGGCTGCAGGGCAGCCTCTGTCACTGCCCCCTGAGGGGGGGCCAGATGCAGGGACTACCGATCACAGGGTTTCTTTGGCCTTGACTCCGGGTCCCCTGTGGGCTGGGCAGGGCCTGATGATGGGGCCATAGTGGGGTTGCAAGGCTGGGTCTGTCCCATGGTCCTGGGGGCACCCAGGGCAGATGTTGAAGGGACAGGGACCCTGCATTCTTGCTCAGAGCAGTAGTGTGGGACCATGGACCCTGACATCTAGGTCTGTGAAAAGGTTTGGCAGCGAAGTCTACTGTCCACTGAAGGAGCCATCGCATGACCCGTGGCCTGTCCCAGGCTGGGGACAGGTGGGCCAGTTCCTGCCCCCAGACCTGCCAGAGAGAGACCCAAAGCCCTGGGCTTTGCACAGACCCCTCACACCTGGGCCTGGGGCTGTCCAAGCCCTCTTCTGCTTTTAGAGGGCCAACCCATTGTCTTTGGGGAGGGGCTCCTGCTGAGGGAGGCCAGCAGAGGCCTGGGTGCCAGGACCATCCCTCCAGGCCCAGGGCCTTCCTGGGTGCCTCGCTCAGGTGTCTCTGGAAGGAAAGCAGACTTGGTCCCCTTTCAGGACCTGCCCTAGGTGCTGGGGTCCCTAGAGTCCTCATGGTCCCTGCGTGGCCCCCATGGTCTGCACTGAGGACAGATCCCAGAGCCGAGAGGTGTGGCAGGCACTTCAGGCTGCTCCTGGGACATCTGCACGGGGTTTAGCACGCAGGCTTTGGCCTGGCTTGAGGCTCCCTGCCTCATGCCCTCACCCAGGGCTACTTAGAACTCAGAAGTCAGGTGGGAGGGGCCTTAACTGTCACCATCCCACTTGCCACTTAACATGGGGGCCTCGCTCTACAGTGGGTGTGACGCCCCTGGGCACTGGGCCCCCTCTGCCCTCCGGGGCTGTCAACTCCACACCAGGACTGGACCTTTCCAACCTCAGCTGAACTGAGGTGCTGCTAGGGGCTTGCAAGCCCAGCCCTTGCTCTCCCCGCATCCTCTCTCGGTCTGGGACGCTGCATCTCCCCACTCTCTGGCTGCCAGCTTATTGCCCTAATGCCCTTTTGTGGGTGCTGAGGAGGGAGGGGCCCCTGCTGCTCCCAGGGGGGTGTTTCGGCTCAAGCAGATGGGTCAGACGTCTCCTGAGCCTTCCAGGGGGGCTTCGAGGGCAAGAACTGGAGGGTGCAGGGAGGGGCTCCACGGCAGATGGCCCGCATCCCCCTCCCCATCTCTGAGGCATCTGTGGTCAGCAGCTGCCTGGGCCCAGCCTAGCCTTGCCTTCAGAAGCTTTAGAGCAGAAAAGGAGNTGTGGGTGTGCCGGGCATTCTGGCAGGGATTTCCCAGCTGAGCTGACAGATCCCAAGCACACATATGGGGGACTGCGGGTTAGTTACCATATAGGGAAGGGGCTGCAAAGAAAGATTTGCACCAAAGTATGCAATTGGTTTACAGAGATGGGAGGCTTTATTAAAAGGAAATTTATTTGTTATTTTGCTTTTTCTAAATAAAACAGATGAAGTTGGAGGCAACAGGAAAGAAGAAAGCCTCTTGGCGAGGTGAGTCATAGGGGACTAGAGAGTGACCCAAGAGGACCCAGGGTCCCAACAGTTGAGAAGCTGGTTCAAGCAATCCTCGACTGATCACTCAGAAACATCAGCCTGGCCTTGTGGGGTCAGCCCTTGCATCTCATTCAGCCCAGGGAGAGGCAGGAGGGGATCCACAGCCAAGTCAGGGCCACCGTGGCATTCAGCTGGGCACCTGCTTCTAAGCTGCCTCAGGATGACATGCTCAAGTTTCTCCGTGACACGCTGTCCGTGGAAACATACTTCTCCAGCATCCAGGAAACATGCTTCTCCTGAGTGAGGAGGAAAAAGACAGGGTGCAGACAGAGAGCTGAGCCATGGAAGGAGATAGTGCATGGATGAAAAGTAGGAAAATGTAGATCCTCAGGGAGGACGTGTGGAAGGAGCTGATTCAGGGAAACCGCAGGAGACACCTGATGGCCTGGGTCCAGAGCCTCAAATCATGCACTGGCAGCACATGGGGACACAGCAGCTGGACTGCAAGCAGTAGGGCTTGCAGCAGCTGGACTGGGAGCACACGGGGATGCAGCAGCTGGACTGGGAGCAGTGGGACTTGCAGCAGCTGGACTGGGAGCACATGGGGATGCAGCAGCTGGACTGGGAGCAGTGGGGCTTGCAACAGCTGGACTGGGAACAGGAGGGCTTGGCTTGTCACAGCCAGAGCAGGAACAGACTGGCACACAGCAGCACACAGGCTTGTAGCAACAGACAGGCACACAGCAGCTGGAGCCACAGCCCCCACAGCTGGAGCTGCAGCCCCCCACAACTGGAGCCACAGCCTCCACAAAGTATGGGCCTATGCCCTGTAAGGAGGGCTCTGTTCATCAGGTAAACCAGCCGGCATGACGATGCAGGGCATGCTGCTGGCTGTCCAGGGCTGGGGGGACACCTTGCCCACCCTCCCTCCAGTGGCTTCCAAATGTCCAGCATCCCCCAAATGTCCAGCGTCGCCATCTGAACTGATTTTAGGCAGTTAAGGAGCTATCTGGGGTTGCAGGACAGCTTGCCATATAATGCCCCAGCTACTAAGGGCTGTGTCTCTCATTGCCCCCTGAGGGGACTCAGATGTGGGTCCCTCTGTGCAGAGGGTGTGTCCTCAGTGGGCTAGGCAGGGCCCAGTGGTACTGCAAGGCCAGGCTGTCCTGTGGTCCCAGGGGTGGCCAGGACAGATGTCGAAGGGGCAGGGCCCAGCATTCCTGCTCAAAGCATCAGTGGGGGAACCACGGCCCCCCCATGTCCAGGTCCATGGGGAGGTTTACAGGGAACTCCACTGAGGGAGCCTAGAATATCCATGTTCTGTCTTGGGCCAGGGATAGGCTGGCCAGACCCTGAGCCCCTGGAGCCCCCAGAGAGAGGCCTGCAGTCCCGGGCTCTGCTGAGACCTGCTTATGCCACTGGCCTGGGGCAGTTCAAGACCATGGTCCTGTTTTCAGGGGGTTGCCCCTATGGGCTGTTGGACCTGGGTTGGTGGGCCAGGGAGGGCCAGCCCATTGTCCTTGGGAAGAGTCTCCATGCTGAGGGAGGACAACAGAGGCCTGAGTGGTGGGACCCTCACTCCAAGCCCAGGGCCTTCCTGGGGAACTCCTCGGGTGTCACTAGAAGGAAAGCAGACTGGGTCCACTTATCACCCAAGCCCATGTGGCACTCCTGGGGGATGGGCCCCACAAACCTGGAGTCCTACTGTCCCAGCATGGTGCCCCTGGTCAGCACTGAGGACACCCCTGCAGGCTGCTGACCCCAGAGAGAAGGGCGTGTGCAGCTAGGCTTCAGCCCTGACTCAATGGGAGGGGCCTTAACTGTCACCATCCCACTTGCCACTTAACATGGGGGCCTCTCTCTACAGTGAGTGTGACGCCCCTGGGCACTGGGCCCCCTCTGCCCTCCGGGGCTGTCCACTCCACACCAGGACTGGACCCTTCCTACCCTCAGCTGAACTGAGGTGCTGCTAGGGGCTTGCAAGCCCAGCCCTTGCTCTCCCCGCATCCTCTCTCGGTCTGGGACGCTGCATCTCCCCACTCTCTGGCTGCCAGCTTATTGCCCTAATGCCCTTTTGTGGGTGCTGAGGAGGGAGGGGCCCCTGCTGCTCCCAGGGGGGTGTTTCGGCTCAAGCAGATGGGTCAGACGTCTCCTGAGCCTTCCAGGGGGGCTTCGAGGGCAAGAACTGGAGGGTGCAGGGAGGGGCTCCACGGCAGATGGCCCGCATCCCCCTCCCCATCTCTGAGGCATCTGTGGTCAGCAGCTGCCTGGGCCCAGCCTAGCCTTGCCTTCAGAAGCTTTAGAGCAGAAAAGGAGGAGGGAAGCCCAGAGAACAAAGCTGGCAGTGGCCCAGGCAGTCTCCATTGTTTACTGCCCCAGAGGGTAAATCAGGAGGGGACCTCTTGCTGGAGCCAGCCTGGTGGAGTAGGTGGCAGTTTAGGCTTCGAAGGTCTCATGGAGGCCTGAAGGTGCCTGTGCACCATGTCATCCTCTGGGCCCAGTCCAGGGACAGCGTGTCATGGAGCAACTCAAGCGTGTCATCCTGGGGCAGCTTCAGGAGCAGCTCTAGGTACAGGGGTGGGAATCAGGTCATGAGGGGCCCTGGGGAGGGGTCAGTGCCCACACCCTGCTCCTTCCTGGGTCACCTTTCTCTGGGCATCTGTGGGGACCTCCCTGAGCAATACCTGGGTTGCTGCTGTGTACAGGAAGGAGGGAGGCCTGGCCAGGCAAGCGCCCACCCCCTGCTGCCTTTTATCTGTGTTGTGTCAGGGGTGTGCCCTGGGGGGACCCACACTGACCCTGGCCACTCCACTGTGCCTGGCCTGGCCCTTCCTCCCTCCCTCCCTCCATGACTGGCTCCCTCGGGGCCAGAGCAGTGGGCTGTGTGTTCAGTGCGAGCGCTGCCCTTTGCTGGCCAGGGTCTGTCCTGCCTGCCCCCCAGGCACGTGTGAACTGACTTCTGTGCACCTTTCCAGTGGTGTGGGCCACTGCCATGAGCAGATGCTCACCCTCTGACTGCACACATCCCAGAGCCTCACGGTGAGCTCGAAGTGGGTCCATAGAACAGCAGGTATGGGGGACCCAGCCTGACCAAGCTGGGGGCTGGCAGCCTTAGCTCGGCCCACAGGGCCTCTGTCTGTAGTGAGGAGACCCCCAGGAGGCTACGTCCCACAGGTTCTGCCGCTCCTCATGGTGCAAACTCACCTCAGTGGGGGTGTGGATCCCAGAAAAAGGGGCTTCTGTAGGACTCGGGGCTTCCCTGGGCTCTCCCAGGATGGGTCCTGGCCGAGTCTGCCCACGATGCTGGCCCCAAGCCCTGGCCTCTGCCATGGGAGCCCCCTCTCATGCAGGGCCTGGCTTGTCTGGCGGGCAGGGACCTGCTGTGCCTCCTGCAGGGTGGGGATGAGCTGGATCCACCGGTGGAGGCCAGACCCCTGGGCTGGGGGGCCAGGCACTGTGGGCAGAAGGGTCCCGGGCCTGGGCTGTCCCTGCGCATCTTACTTCACCTGTGGAGCACTCGGCGAACCAGCTGGTGTAAAGCCTGGTGGTCACTCCGAGGTCATCTTGACAGAAGGAGCAGAGGCGCTCAGGGCCCCCTATTCCCAGCCCCTCTGCAGGCCGTTCTCCAAGGGGCAGAACACCGGGTGGTGCCCAGGGCTGCCCCACCTGCCCCCACAAAGACCCTCAGGTGGAAATGCTCTCCTCAGCCTTGCTCAGCCCACTGTGACCCTGCCCGGCATCTCTGTCCCCTCCAGGTGAAAGGAAACCAAACCCCACACCGTGGAGGACCCCGGCCCAGGAAAGGCCCTGGCCAGCGCTGGGCCTCTGTCACCCCAGGAGGGCGCAGGCCAGCCCTCTCCCCTGACCCCTGGAGCCCGGGGCCTCTGGGCGGGAATGAGGGGAGGTGGCTCACCAGGTGCTGCTGGGCTTTGGGAAGCTTTTCTTAACACCCTCCCAGGGTCTTGGAGGCTCTGGAGTTTGG